CAAGCTATATAAAAACGAAGGAAAAGAGGGACCGTTTTCAGTATCTCAGAATGGCTCAGTTCGCAATAACTCATCACCGCATGTGGTTTTTGAGTTGCTTATAACATGTATTAGGGAATGCAACATGCACCAACCATCTTACCAATCTTGGAATGAGAAGCTCTTATAAAGCGCCTGTTCTCAGTAAAAGAGCAATTTCAAATGCTCTCAGTGGAATTCAACCAAAATAAAAGCTTAATGGTTTCAAGTTGGAAGATTACAAAATTAAGGCAGTCATAAATATTAGAATTGTAATTTTAAAGTTGCACTGTAAAAAAAATGTATGGTATTATAAAAAAAACACAATAGTAATATTTATTAACCCGTTTAATATTTAATTTTGTAATAAAAACATTATTATTATATAGTCATATTTAGTGTTGTCAAAAGACACGGTACTTCGGTACCAAGTCGGTACTAAAAAAATGAAAACGTTACGGTACCAGGTTTTTTTAAGTACCGGTGGTACCGAGTACCCGGTCGACCCGGTTCTTGATGCGCTATCCGAAAGGTGCGCAGATACGCTCTCTTCATAAAAGCACTGAGACATCGCGACCTCAAAATGAGGAAACACATTAAACTAACAAAACACTTCAAAGACAGACACCCGGATCAAATGAAAGAGTTCAAGCAGGTAAGTTTCATTTCAATTTTTAATATTTAGATCAGTGTTTCCCCATACATTGATGTATTTGTGGCGCCCGCCACAATATCAAAACTGAACGCCACAAATAGATTTTCCAAAAGGCTTTGACTTCGTTGAATAAACATGAGCACTGCACATGTCAAAGTCGAAACCCAGTGCGGGTGTTTTTATATCACTGTATTTCTGAAGGAAACCGACTGTCTTCAGAAAATGATGGATGTCATTTTCATTTCATCTTGCCTGTAATGCCTGAGCAGCGTTTGTGAGCGGCAGCACTTATTTGATTACAGCCATTACCGGTGAAACCTCTATCTCTCCCGCTCTACAAGCACCTCCTGCTGGCAGAGAATGAATTTGCATATATATGCAGCCACAAATAGAGTGCAAGTCTGTGGGAAACACCGCTTCTGTTATGAATATTATTCAATATTTTAATTTGAATGTCGGATTGAAATGAACATCGCTGTTATTAGAGTAGTTAATCGTTAGCAAAAGCGCAGCTAATGCTAATATAATGAGCATTAGAATTACGTTTCTTTATTAACTATTTAATGATCCTATAACTTTTATTAGGGTTAAAAAAAACAGGAGGACATGATGATATTTACTATTTTTACACACCAGAGGCTTTTAAATGAATTTTGAATCTAAAATATGCGTGTTAGAGAATGTACAAATAGTTAACATTGTTTGTGTCATATCAGTCAGAAAAGCAGTTCTGGGCTTTTTTTTTTTTTTTAGCTAACTTAGTTGTTATTCTTGGCTGAATAACTCTAGAAGGTTTTAAAAGCCTTTAAAAAAATATGTACACAGGTTGGATTGAATGAAAGTAGAGTCAAATGTTTTAATTAGCATGTTTTTGTGTTTTGCTTTGGTACCGAAATTGGTACCGAGAACCGTGGATTTTCACTGGTATTGGTACCGAATATTGAAATTTTGGTAACGTGACAACACTAGTCATATTGATATATAACCACAAAATATTGGGCCAAATTGTGCAGCCCTACAAATGGGCATCAAAACTGCACCAAGAAAACTGCAATTAAATTTTTTCCCAAATCTCTATGATATTCTTGTCTCTAGATTAGTGTTGTCACGGTACCAAAATTTCAGTATTCGGTAGACAACACTACTCTAGATATGGCTCAAGGCCCTCCTTGAAATGTAAGATTATTTTGCATGTTTCACCAACCAGGCAAAAGTCATAAGTCAAAGCACATCTCTCTTCAACAAGCCACACAACTTGAGGTATCATTCATGTCCATAGCCCAAACGTGCAGGACACAAACTGAAGTTTAATATTAAGAGTTAGGGAGTGAGCAAGAGCAAGTAAACACAACTGATAAAAGAGTTATGGAATAGCAAGAAGGGCTAGACACTTACACATAGACTAGACATACAAAAATGCATGTCAAAATTTCTAAGGGAGGCTATATAACAGAGCAATCGTCTTAAAGATACTATGCCAATGATGCAATCTATGTGCTGGATTTAGAAAGATTATGTAATTAGCTGACAAAATTATCATAATTTTAACTATGTACGTCAGAGCACTTAATCGGATGTCCTGACACACTTTCAAGCCATAAAATACATGAACTACACCCAGTTCAGCTTTGGGAATGGGCCAAATTTCAACATCCTGAATGAGGCTTTAATGTACAATTAAACTGACCCAAATTCAACAGCAGAAAAGTCCCTTTCTACCAAGAATAATAGACAAGCCTATATGCAAATGTGGTACCAAACCTTCACTAAGCCCACCCCCTGAGTTCCCAGGCCTTGCTTCCAGGGGCCCTTTTCATAAAGCCAAAGCCTTTTCATCTATTACTGACACAGATTTGGTGGAGGATTCAGCACCTCAGCTACTTTACCTGATCATAGCTGCAAAGAGCTGGATGAAAACGGAACTTGTCCAATGACACAGTAAAGCTTTGTTCCAATTCTCAATATTTGCAATATAACAATACAGCACTCGAGGCAACTAGATAAGTCTGATTAAACCAAAAAGCATTTGCATACACACAGTAAAGCTACAGTGTGCAAGTAGAGCGTGTCCAACACATTTGAAATTGTCATCGACAGTGACCAATGAGCTTCTACTCACACTGAGGAACTAACAAGCCACTGTCATATTCAAATCTGATTCAAACCACATATTGCACATATTACAAGTGTAGATTGTTATCCTACACTAGTAGTTCACAGCAACTGCATGTAGTTTTTATATATTTTGGTGAATTTTTGGAGCTCCCAACAGGAATTCACTGCTGTAATTACAGTGGATAGCTGTACACAGGCATTTGTTGTTAATGTAAAGCAAACCAGCCTTTTCGATGAATTTCACACCTGCTCACTAAACTTACATACTCCCAGAATGGACGTCTAGGGGTGGAGCGTGGGAAAAAAACAGAAGCCATTCGCCTTATTAGAAGTCAGTGTATTATCAGAACGATTCACTGGTTCAGCCCAAAAAATACGTTTTTTTAATGCTATTTGAGCATAAGAAACAATATTTATGCGGCAGTTCCTGCCAGATTTTGTTGCCGATTTGAAATATATTATTTAAATGTGAGTGTGGCATGCTTTTCTTTGTTTTGTTTTTTTCTCTCAGGATTTCCTCATTCAAGCAGACAGCACTTGGCCTTGCATGCCCTAAATAACTGCCCGGAGGTGTTGCAAATACGGCCCCCCAGTGAACAGACTTTCCTTGAGAGAGACTCAATTCAGTTTCTGTACCTGAATATTAAACCTAGCTACCTGAAAAACTTTAAAAGCACTCTTTATTTAATTTGTATCTTTGTCATAGTGTTTGTAATGTGCTTCGTTGTTGTCATTTTTTGTAACAATCTTGTTTAAAAGTTGTGTGGCAAAAATAAACAAGCTTTCTGCATGTATGACTATTTTACGTCTAGTCACATAAAATATGTTAGATTTACCATACAGAACCATGCAGAATCCTGTTAGCTCTAATGACATATCGTTAGCAGTGTTGGGTAATAACTGATTACATGTAAACCAGATTATGTAATCAGATTCCAAAAATTAAATACATGTATTAATTTTAGCCACATTTATTTATTTAGTTTTAAATGCAATAATGACAGCTTTTAATAATACCTTAGTTAGATAACAATCAATCAAAAATTGTTAATTCCTGGTGGGACTAAAAAAAACATTTTCTCCACTGATTATCACTCAAAAATATCTGTGTAATCTGATGAAGTACTTTTTGCATGCAACATTTAAGTACATATTTCACTATATTGCTACTAGAACCAAATATATGATTTATGCTCTTTTTTTCCAAGGGCTCTAAAAATAACAAAATATATTTTGCCTATGCGCTGCCTTCGAGTTCGCAGTGAACTGCCCAATACAACCTGGCAGCAGAACTGAGGAGAGCCCATGCAACCAGCAAAGATGGCAGACTTCTAATCGTGTAGCCTACTACTCTGGGTATCTGTTCCAGCGGAGTAAATGTCACTGGGATTCACAGCAATGCTAACAGACAGCTTTCTCCAAATATTATATAGACCTTGATCTAAAGTTGGCACCAGATGGTGGACAGGTATTTTGTAAGACACCATTCTTACTGTTATGCAACATGCCCTATTGTGCTCATGCCCAAGATATCTCCAGCTTTGGTCAGAACTATTCATAACCAAAACAAATACTTCAGACTTAGTAGCGAGCTACTGCAGATGGTCACTTCTATCTATTTAATGAAACCCATTAAAACAGATCAGATCAGGAAACTGAGCAATGATCTCCTTTAAATGATCAATGCATGTAAGGTCAATTACCAAATCAACTAAAATATAAACCAGTTATCACACGTTGCTTGTCATAAGCCTGGTGTTAGTGGCAGAGATCAGTAGACACGAATTAAATCTTGGCTTTATTACACATTTATGAATTATGATCGCGTGGAGCATTGTCAAAAATGGCGACCAGTGGTGGACACGAGGAAATAAAATAACTCTAAAACCTCAAACGTGTACGATGCGCTATGCAAAAGTTTAAACAACGTTTGCTCCAACCTATTTTTTTTTGGGGGGGGGGGACTAATTACTAGTTATATAAATGCTTTTGGCCTACTGATATTCAAGTTTAACACGATATAAAACTTGCTGTATTTAATTTCACACCAACCCAAAGCTTCAGACAAATCATGCTGTTCCAATATAAAGCATTAACTATTACATTTTTCAGCTCTGCTCTTTTAAGATGACTTGTCATTTATTAATCGCAATGCCTTTCACGTGCTTCCCTGTTAACTTATACAGATGATGCAGCGGATCGCTCAACTCACCTGCATTGAATCGGCGCTTATAATTTCCCCATTAAGCCTTTTCCCGATCTCGATAGCCAGTTTAGATTTGCCAGTTCCCGTGGCTCCTAGAATCACCACTAAAGACGGGCTGACGCCTTTCCAGAGCACACGCGTGGCGGCCGCCATGACAGCAACCTCTCAGGGCTGTAGAATGATCTGAGCATGCGCGGTGATTTCGCAGCGGAGGAGGGAACTGTATCCAAGCAACTAAAACTGTTTCCATAGGAACGGGATTGAAGGATTCAGTTTTAGTATGTACGGGAAGGCAAGTGTGTTTCATTCAGAAATAGGACAGACGTTCAACTATCTAACAAAAAGTTATTGGAAAACAGGAATTGTAATATATATGTGGACAATAAAATGGCACTGCTTGTTCCAAACAGGAAACAAATCTAGTAAATATGTCGAAAAATGTTCAGATTTTCATCACTAATACATCCATACAGAGTCCTGTTAGCTCTAATAACACATTGTTAGCAGTGCTGGGTAGTAACTGATTACATGTAAACCAGATTATGTAATATGTGATTCCAAAAACTAAGTACATTTATTCATTTAGCAACATTTATTGATTTACTTTGATTTATTTATTTATTCATTCATTCATTAATTTATTTGTAATTAGATTATATTACATTTTAAAATGCTCATAATCAGATTACAGTTACTTTTTATGGATGACATAATTACATATCCACACAATGGCATTAATTATTCATAATTTATTAATTCTCCCTAATCATTCTTTTTTTTTTTTTCCTACCCTATTTCTTTTTATATATCAATATGGTACACAACAATCCCATTCAAATCTACAGGATAAACGAGTTAGGTCAAAAGTAATCTAAACGTAATCAAAAAGTATTTGGAATATGTTACATAAAATGAATAATCAAATAGATTACATTAATAACTACCATTTTTATCATGTAATTAATTTGTAATCAGTAATGGACTACATTTGGCAATTAATCTACACAGCAATGAGTGCTATTTATTAGTAATATGGTGAAACTAGTATTTGTATCCTTAAATGCAATAATGAGAGCTTTCAGTTTTCACTCACATACTGTATCGGATGAGTTGGCACAGTTTTTAATCTTTACGTTGGCTGCTTTGACAATACTGTTGACTTTAGCAGGTCGACTTGTGCACCTTCCGGAAGAACACGGGTATGAATAGCTCTTCTGTCTCCATGGCAACTGAGCGTTCTGCACCAAGGAAAAGGGATATGATGTTGCCATGGCAAAGAAGGCCACTACGACGTGTCAACTAAAAGTGGCTCTCGCTAATGAAACGATCAAATCGAGTTCACACACTCTCATACAGATGTTGATAGCTCTTACGCCACACATAGTAAAATGTGCATTATTATTATGCTGCATTTTTTATAACCAGTCACTGCCCCACTAATCAAGATATTATTTAAAAACTGTCTCTTAAGATCATTTTAAAGGGAAAGTTCACCCAGATGTCATATCATTTACTAACCCTGTTTTTTTTCTAAGCCTGTATGAGTCACTCTGCACTTTCATTGCATCTTTTTCATACAAATGTGACTGAGGCATCTCCTGTTATGTTCCACAGAATTAAATCATGCGTGTTTGGAACAACATGAGACTGAAATGATGAGATTATTTATGAGAGAACTATCACTTTAAGTCTTATTCTGTTAAAACGTTTAATTTTCATGGCTTCAGGTGTATGCAACCAAATCTGAAAGCATTTAAGTGGAGTTAAAAGCTAATTAACAAAGAAAGACAAGCATGCTGACAGGATTTGAACTGAATTTATTTTATTGTTTACCCAATTTTGAGTTTATGTATATAGGCTTATGAGGTACAGAACACAAAGTGCTTAGACAATGCTGCTGCCATTCTCCTCCCGTTATGACACCTGACAACAAGGGACAAAAGTGAAAGAAACAACAACAACAACAGGTTACTGATGGCATATGCATCCCCGGTGTGAAGTATTGTCTATTTGATAGTATTTATTTCTGATTGATCATTTGGCAAAGCTGAATGTACAAACAGAAGTCACCTCAATCAATCAGTGGTGATTGCTGTGAGCACATGGCCTTTATTTTTTACAAATAATTGCATGACAAATGACCATGTGCATAAACTTCAAATTACCACGGTCATATTGGGAGATAAGTAAGCATATACCACCAGTACAACTTAATATTTAAACAGAAATCAAACAATGATACAATTAATTCTGTAAGAAAATATTAGTACAAAATTCTTTCAGCATTTTTTTCTGCCACAACAGCGATAAGCCAAAGAAATTTCAGACCACAAGGGAATAGGCAGTGAAAACAGCATAAAGTGGCTAGTGATGAAAATGAAATGTTGATAGTTTTGTTTTATTTAACTTTTTGACATTTTTAAAAACTTTTCTTAACAAAAATAGAAACTTTGAGATCTTTAGGGAAGGCAGGTGGGCCAACCAAGTTTTAGGACAAATGACAGAAAAATAGAAAATAAAGTCTATTAACAGTGCTGATTTTCATATTCAAAACACAAAGTATGTATTTTTACACAATGTCCTGTACACCCCTACTATTATATACATATGTCCGAAGAATATGCCACAGTTTATATACACTGCAAGGCTGTGCTGGACAGTGTCCTGAATGTTCAAGATAACAATAATATACAATAACTGAAAAGAAAAAACAAACAAACAAACAGTGGAACACAATGTAACAAAGCAACAGTGATGCAACTTCCTGTCTGTTAAACTTACTCTGTCATCATGCGGCAATGGGGGCACACAGCTCTCCTTAAATTTAGGTTAATTTAGATAAATCACTATTAACGGAGAAGTTACTTTGATCAAAGACCCTTAAATATATTTATCCAGAAAATTTCAAGATTCCCCCACAAAAAGGGCTTGATGGTTTAGAAGATCAATTACACATGCATATAGATTGCTACATTTCGAATAATGCCTAATTTGGCATGCTAATTCAATGAAATAATACTTCCCTGCCCAAATACTTCAGTTTTCATCAAATAATTTAAGATAACACACATTCATGGTTTAAATCTTTAAATTTCAAATGAAAATCAGAAATAATGACCCTCTTTGGAAAATGTTTGAACCAGTTCCACAGCTTCCACAAGTTCGTCTCCCCCACTGCGAAGGCAAATGTGCAAAGAACAAAAACTGAAGAACCAATCTCAAAATCCATTCCATTAAATATCCCACTTTTGGAGAAAGCACTCAGTTCTACACAGTTCCTATTGAAAATATGGCTGGACTATGAAGGTTTATGCACATTTTAGTTCAGCGAGTCTCCGTAGTAACTGCTGTCGTCTGTTTTTTAGCTGCTTCTTCACCTGGGCCTTCTGTTTGTCGCTGACATGCAGCGTACGCAGATATTCTGTGGCCTTGGTCAAGATCACAACTTTGGGTGTCTTTGGACAGTCAACCAGGCCTGGGATCTCATCCCGTAGGGCCAGAAATCGGGAGCGTAGGTCATTGCGTCTCTTCCGCTCCAAGAAGTTGTGTGTCTTACGCTTGTCCGTGTCCTCACAGTCCGAACTCTGAGGGCTGGATGGTTGGGATTTGAGGTGGTAGGATGTGTGTGTTGGAGAAGCGGAGACAGTCTGAGATGGGGTGGGGACTGAGGGGGAAGGCAAGGGGCTTTTTCTTTCTGGGGTTTGGGGTGTGGAACCCAATCGTGGCTGTAAGGTTTCTTGCCTTATCTTTTTGCGAGGTGGCTCCTCTTCAGGATAACTGTCGGGAGTGCGGGCAGCGTAGTTGTGCTGTTGCTGGTGAATGGAGATGTGGAAACGCTTCATGCAAGGGTCATAGGGGTCTGCACGAACTGTGATGGTCACTGGTTTACGGGTGTTCACCAAGCGCGATTTGTTCTGCCTATGTTCCACCGTCACTACATCAATCTCTGCATCATCTGAAAGAGCAACAGAAAGAAATGTAGATTGACTGTGTGTGCAATGCCACTTCCTACCAAAGTCCAACACCATTCCATTCACCCATTCTAGCATGTTAGAAACTCCATTCAGAATGTAAGATCTTTAATTAGATGGGTTCCAAAACTACCATATGAATCTTATGTTTTTATCAGTTCCCTATTCTCAGAAAGAGGAAAGTAAATGATGCAATAATGAACTTGGAGTCACCTCTGATGTGTATTTTGATAAGAGAAGCATCTGTTCCGAGTTCCCTCTACTCTGATTTCACTATGCAATTATTTCGATCACTGAGCACAAAGCAGAATATTTGTCACAAAATCAGAAATCCACTATTAAGTTATATTTAAGCCAAAAATAAATAAATATATACATATTTTTCGGGTCCATACAAAGAAAATAAATGGTATCCAGTGTCGTTTTGGACACCTTTGACTTTCATTGCATGGATAAAAAGAGCTGAAACATATGTTTGGTATTCTGCTGTATGTCAGCCCATAGAATGACATGAGCAAACGATACAGAATTTTTATTTTGGGTAAAACGTAAGCCTTCAAGTTGCATGTGCCCTTTAAGTGAAAATATAGAACAATTAAAAAGCCAAAAAAAGGTGACAACTTCAGGTAGTGCCCCTTGAGTGTCACTTTAGGATTCAAGCATCCTTATTATGGGTTTCTGCTGCTGGCACCACCCACAAATAAAACAATTTCTCCTTTAGTTCCACTTGAGGAATGTGGAAGTTCAGCAAACTATTACATTCCACACATATTAAGAAGAAATCGAAATGAAATGCCAACTTAAATCCCATAGCACCAATGCAACTTTTCTATTAAAGTATGTCAGGTTTTGACTTAGTTCTACTTAATGCACAAATGAATGGGAACTCTGCAGTGCATGATCATAGACATTGAGATCCGTCAGGTGTCGAAAGGAGGTGTCAACACAACTGCAAATTTACACTGTTAAGCAAATAAGTGAGATTTATTGGTCTGTCGCGTTCAAAATCAATGGTCTCCTGCTTACCAGAGGAGTCTGTGCAAGATTCTGACCCGGACGACACCTGTTTCTTGCAGCTGCTGCTCAGGGGGAAGGTAAGGACAGCTGCTGGATCCACGCAATCTGTCGCCAAGCTGTTGAGAGCAGGCGCGTCCGCAGGGACGCACTGCGCCTTGCTGGAGAGTTTCGACTGCGCAGAGCAGGACAAGCGCTCGCTGACAA